TCATTGCTCAGTAACCTTGTGTTTATTACTGTATGTGCTGGTTGAGTTTTGTGTACCTTTTCCTCAGTGGAAATAACACTTCTCTCTTCCCCCTTTACCAGGTATTAACTCTTTGTCATAAATGGTGTCAGAGTAGAATTTTTTTTAGACATTGACCAATTTCCATTGGAGCTAGTTGATGGGTTCATAAAGTTTTGCGAGGGAGAGACTGGTGAAGAGATGACATCTTTCGTATTTCTTTATTGTTGAGAGTAATGACAGATTAGGTGAATGGTTAGACATTGGGTTACACATTACCCAGGACATGCTGTGGTGCAGAGACACCTGATGACAAAGAATCTCAACCACGCTGCAGAGTGCACTTGCAAGACCAACAGGTTAGTTAAATACAACTCTGCACTGAACTGGCTTGTAAACTCTACCTTGTAATGCCACACCTAAGTTAAACTTATGCTTCTGCTGTTTTCTTGGGGTGAGTTGGAAGATGACAATAGCGCTTACAAGACCGTTTAGGCCTCAACGACTCCATCCAGTCACATAAGTGACTTTCTTTGTCTCGGTTCCAGGGTCATGGGGCACAGCTCTTCAGAGCTTACTAGACCTGAGCTATATCGTATACTTTAAGTGAGCTTAGTCCTGGCCTGTGAATAAGCCACTGCATTTGGACACAACTGATCTATTCAACCCGAGAATTCACTGTTATTGTAGGTGTGATCAGAGTATTACAAATGTTGGAATGTAAATCAGATCACTGTTGTTGGAGTGTATAGATCCTTTGCAGGCAGGATATGCAAAATGTTCAGTTTACTAGCCAATTAGGTGCCTACAGTTAAATTTGAAAATGCTTATAAACTTTCATGTGTACCAGTTTGTATCATAGGAAAAATCATTGCCTTTTCAGTATGCATTTATGAAGAGGAAACACGCAGCTGCAGATTTCCAGTCAGCCTGGCAGGTTTATATAGGATATACTCATCAGATTGTACTTATTGTGTAGAACCTTCTAAGGGACAGGCTATGCTTGGAAATACTCTTCAAGTATTAGATTAATTTTAAAATAAACATCTTCAGGAGCTGCAGGACAGATGTAGTTTATTCCCTAAATTTGAGATTGAGGATATAGAGTACTTTCTTCTTGTGCTTCCCAGGACCATTAAGTGAGAATATTCAGAGGGTTCGAGAGGAGAGTGATTTTTAGATATTGTCAGCAATTGTTTTGGTAATAATTCCCTTCTGTGATGGTTGATGATCTGTGTGTGGCTGTGCAACCTTTATAATTTGACTGGAAAAGGAGAATGGAAAAGAAACACCTCAGAGGGTGTTGGCTTGGTGAAAATATCTAGTCTTTCTCAAATGAAATGGAACAGCATTTAGATAAAACACATAAAAAATTGCTACAAGAAATATATACAGAAGTATAATGAACAATTTTCTATTTTTTTAGTAGTATGTTTTCTTTAAAGGATGTTTTGCAAATGAGCATACTCTTTAATCACCTTTGTTACCATTACATTGTGAGAGTTTGTAGGGTACACAGATGAGAACGGGGCAAAACTGTACTGGGGATGTCTGTGAAATGCTGACTTTTAGGGATGAGATTGTAGGTTTTAGTGTCCTGACGTAAGTTCCTTCTTCTACTAGTAGCAATCTGATGCCTTTGTCCTGATATTGTTGCCTTTAAATATGAAGTAATCAATATTTGTGTTCATCGGGCTCTTTTTGTTAACATTTAAAATAAGGTAGTGCTTTTACCTTGTTGGGTAAAAGCTAGATGCAATGTTCTTGATAGCTGCCAAACATTCTATTTCTGTTGCCTGTTGGGCAAGAGAAAAATACATCGCATAATGGCTGTAAGAAGCAGCAGTAGTCCCAGAGAATGTTTTGAGTATTTGCAAGATGCAACTAGAGTGGTTTGGGCATTTGCAGAGCTACCATCATTGCTGAAAGTATCATATTCCACAAATAAACTATTGAACTTAATGACCAATAATAATGTAGATTGCAAAATTATACTGGCAATATGTAGTTATTCCACATGCTTGTTGAAAATGACATGAAAACAAATCTTAAATTCTAAAACGTGTGTCTGTCATTAGCTCCCTGTACTTTCCCACATGCTGGTATTACCTTGCTACAATCATCGCATGAGAATTGGGTTCTTAATGAAAACTAAGATAAAACACCAAGTCTTCTTTGAGTTTAGGTATGTGTTGGGTTTTTTATGACATATGTTTGCAAATAAGTTTGGCTTAGCTTCAGGTTACTTCTTTTTCAGTGCAGAAAAAGACATAATTACATTTTAATTCTATACTTATATGTAGTTCCAAAAAATGATTTTATTTTCTTTCTACTGGGAAGCAGTTTCGAGTGAAAACACAGTTGCTTATTGCAGAGGGCAATTAGCACTTACGGAGTTTGAAATAGCTGTGTGAGTTAGTAATTTGGAGTGATGGTGAAGGCTAACAACTTAGCAGTTTGCATCTCTACTGCCTTTGAAGTAGTGCACTCCATGTACAAAAGGAAAAATCAAAGAACTGTTTCTCCAAAGTAGACTGCTTTCTACAGGGCAGGGTATATTAGTGTTAATGCTTGGGAAAGGTGCCAGATTTAAATGAGGGCAGTAGCAGCGGGAGATCCCCAGCAAAAGGCGCTTATAGAACGTAGCAGGACAGCAGTGGTTATTTTGTTATTTCAGTGTTTTGTTTTCTGCCAGCTTCGCTAAACCCAGTGTTGCCTTCCTCCATTTGACACCAGCATACCTTATTTACCTGCATTTTTATTACCTGTGTTTCTCTTTGAATAGACTTCAGTCACCATGGTGTAAAAAATTCTCCCATCCTGAAAGCTCCAAGTTGGGCCACAAATCATCCTTCTCTCTGACTCGTTCTGTCACAACAGTAAGACAGATTAAATAAGCAACTCTGAATGGCAGAACAAATGTAGCATAGTTTTGTTATGATTTGTCCTTTGGCAAGGTTCTCTGAAATCTAAGAAAATACAGAATTTCACAGAAGCTTTGCACTCAAGGCACTTCTCTGGTGTGTCTTCCAGTTTTTTGGTGTTGAGTTCCTGAGGGCAGGAAGCCTTCTGGAAGGGTCACCCTTTGCCTAGACATCTACTTTCATGAACCTTCAGGTTCATACCTGTCTTTTTGACCTATTTTTCTCTATAAAACGCAAGTGCAGTTCATTAAGGAGTTCGAAAGAGATTGAGCAACAAGCAGATACATACATTGTCAGCCTCTTCCCCTAAGGAAACCATGCTAATAGTTCTCCATCTAACAGATATAGAATTAAAAATGGACACCCCCATTTACTTCATGCTTTTGTTGGGTTTTTTGTTTGTTTGTTTGTTTTTGACCTATTTCTGTTCCTTAATCATTACTAGTGACTGCTTGAGATAGTAGGGGAAAGCTGCAATTTGTGTTAAAGTATTTGAAAGCATGGGGCTGAAAAGGAGTGAAATGTAGTAAAAATGGCCATACATCAAAAGAGAGGAAAAATACCTTTTTTCTCTTAAACACCTGGATAAAACTTTTAGGTGTTAAAAAAGAGCGTGCTTGCTCTGGCAGGAACACTGGAGGACAAGCTATATGTCAATGGTAACCTACCAAGAAGCAACTGATAGAGTTAAGAAAATGATAGGCCCCTGTAAAGCTAAGAACCAGAAAAGGTCCATAGTCTAGTCTACAAGTAAATCTGAAATAAGACCTCTAATAAACTGTGGGTTACCAGGCAGTTTAGGAATACAAAACCATTGCAGACAACTTCAGTTTTCTCTGCATCAGCCATCTGCAGTTAAATGCAAATTGGGTGTCATTTCAGTTAATTGAAATAATACTGTGATGGACTGAACTGGAAGTGGTGGGGTGAGTGGACAAGCTGGAGAGCAGCAAAACACTACAATTTGGCTTGCACCAGGAGTGTTCTGTCAGAGAAGTCTATGTGATGTTTGGACTCAAGGATGGATCCAGTGTGGTAGTTCACGTGTTGCTTTTTTTGTGTGTTCAGTTGGTGAGCTCTGGAGTAGAACTTGTATTTTTCTATATTTTCCGTTGTTACACTTGTTAACAGCACCACGTTACAATTTTGACAGAATAGTGGGGTGAAGGGCAGGGAAATTTATTGATTTGCTACTGGATTCAGAGACATCTGTGGGAACTTTTGAGAAGAATGACAGCTCTATTTAATAATTCAATAGCATGGACACACAGTGACAAGGAGAGGTAGTTACTTGTGTTTGGAACCGACTGGGAGGAGATTACTTGGAGGTGAATGGCCTTCATATCACTAGCACTGAAAACTCTAGGCACTATATAGTCCCTGCAGAATTTTAGTGAAATACACAGACTTAACCAGAGATTGAGGATTAGGTTTTTTTCAGGTTATGTGTAAGTACTTTTCAATGACCATTGTTATACTAATAAGTAGAAGGATGAAGCACCTCTATGCTGAGCTAGCAGAATTAAAGTAGGCTGCAGTACAGAGCAAATGTCTGAATAGCTATGTAAGTACAGACCTGATAGGAAAGGGGTGCAATGCAGAGTGCAAGCTCTGTATGACATCTGCTTACTGCCAAGTACGGATTCCATTGTTGTGAAGACTGTGCTTATATATCTTTTCATGCTTCTGTAGCCTATAAATGCTAGGGCAGGAGGGATGTAAAATAGGTTATGCCTTATTTTCTTCATGTTATTCTCTTTTCTGATATAGTTTTGCTTTTGTGTGTATGTTAGAATTTTTATCTTTTAATGCTGCTAAAATATAACCATATAACTTAGTAGTCATTCTTCTAGGTCTTAGGGAGCCACCATAAATCTGTATTATAAAGATAATAAAGAGGCAACTACTTGGAGGTGTTTAATTTCATGGTGTTTTCGTGCAGTCTTCAGTAAGTCCTTTCTAATGCTAGCTGCAAAGCAATACTGAAGTATGGATTGTAATTCACTCATGTGGAGGTGGGTTTTGTTTTTGTTTTGTTTTGTTTTTGCACTGGCATAGAGTGAAGACAGTCCTAGTCCCAAGCGACAACGCCTTTCCCATTCAGTCTTTGACTATACAGCAGCATCACCAGCCCCGTCACCACCAATGCGACCATGGGAGATGACATCAAATAGGCAGCCTCCTTTGGCTCGACCCAACCAACACCACTTCTCAGGGGAACGATGCAACACACCCGCACGAAACAGGAGGAGGTAAGCAAGCTGTGTAGCTTGGGAAACAATTTATTACTCTTCCTGATTTCAGCTCAAGGGTGGTGTATTTCAGGCAGCACTGACTAGATCACACATGGTTAACATGTTAACATTTCCTTTGAGCTGTCAGTTATTATAGTTGTAACTGGAAAGTTACTGAAAGTAATTCAGGTTGGTGCATCATCCCTTAATTTGCGTGAATAGATAACTTGGGGAAAGGAGTACTCATTAACATTTTTAATTATGAGCCTGATTCTCTTTCACTCTGCACTGGAGCAATAAGCATTTAGAAAAATGTGAGAAAAATCTTTCTCATCAGGGTACTTTTAGAGATATTATATTATTGATGTAGTACCATAATTTTCACTGCAGTCACAATTATTTTTGTACGTAAAAACAATCTAAATAAAGATGAGGTATACTGACTGGGAAGAGTGACATAGTGTTTAAATGGTTGCTGAGGTGTGTGATTCACATGTGATAGGAGTTAGATTTTCATGTTGGTTTTAGATTGTGGCTCATTAACCTCAAAGCAGAGATTTTGGAAGAAGTTCCTATGCTCATGGAAGAGTAAAGATTTGGATGGCCAGGTTGAACTGGTGCCTGGGTGGATGATGGTATAGGAAAGTGTAAAACCACAGACTTCTCTACTATTCCAGTTAAACTAATTATCCAAAACACGAGCTTTCATTGCCTCACATTCTGCCTCAAAAATGCTCAGTCATCTAATGCAAGTTAAAACACAGTGTCCCTCTGTTTGCTTCTGAGAAATATTGTGGTTTGGTTTGTACTAAAATTGTAGTGTCTGTGCTTTTTCATGAATGTAAAATATTAGACTTAAGAAATATATAACTGGTTTTCTTCTGATTTCACAAATGAAATTTGTCAGCCGTGATCAGGCAGGGATAGTTTTGAAGCAAGAAATTTTAAAACGTGCTACTTTTCTATCTTGGCTTCAAGTCCATCAATCTGAAAGCTTTCGGTTAGTGGCATTCAAAATACACATCTCTCAAAACAGCTTGTCAAACTTAAGAAAGAGGTTGAATTATGAACTTGGAGTGGTTATTGTGAAGACAGAAGATTAGGCCTTTTGTACAATTTGGTACAGGGTTACTCTGCAGGGGCGTTTGGTCCACAAAGTTTTTTACCTTAAAATGGTTTGAACTGAGATCTCTAGAGTATGGTGCATTTGGCCATTTTTGCATAGTGTCCGGCCAGCCTACACAGATTTCTTTGCAATGTTCATTAAGATCTCCTGCAGAGTAAGTAGAGTGCTTAACAAGCTAAATGCCACGTAGCTGAATCTAGACAGTTTGGATATACTGTGGTTTGAAGGAGAAGAATGGGATGTGTGGGAGATGAATGCGCATGGGACAAGTATTTGACATTCAAATGCAATCAGGTGTTACTGAGGTAGTGGCCTGTGGCTTGTAAGTAAACTGTGCTGCAAATGGAGAGACACCGCAGTGCAGAGCCATCTTCAGTCTGACAGGTGTTGCTAGGTTGGCTGCAGCATTGTAGGCACAAAGCATTACTCTTTCTAGGACCAGCTTCCCTGCTCTTGGGTAATAACACCTGCTTTTGCTCTAATCAGAGGCATTTGAATGTGTCAGTACTTTGTTTCCCTGCACTTCAGTCAGGGCATTTTTTAGCTTGGGTGCACTGTTGCATTTGAGCCGGCTCTAGGTCAATTCCAGAACAGTACTGCACCCAATCTCCTCTCCTAGAACAGGATCATTTCTTATTTTGCAAGAGCCTTTTTGAGTCTTAGAATGCTCTGGAGCCATATCAGAACGAATAACTACTCTTGTGGATCAAAGCTTGATTCCTTAAGATCATTGTGAGTGCATCTGTTATTAATGCTTTAGATGAGGTTATACACATGCTTTTGAAGGCAATTTCCTGTTTTCCCTGCTTTGTTTTTTCTCTTCCCATTGCAGAGTGGTCTCAAAGTTAATGAGGTTTTCAGATGAAGATAAGATGAAAGGTGCACTCCAGTTGCAAATGGTCATTCAGCTCAAGTGAACAGACTAGGGCAAGTGCAAACAAAACCCTTGAAATTAGTGTGGACATCACTCTGACCCAACTGTCATCAGCATTAACTCTTTTGTCCTACCAGTTCACTCCTGTTGGTCAGCACAGGGTGTGCTGTTTTTTTATTACCTGAATTTTTTCCATTATCTGGGTTACTATTTAGACTTTATCTCTTTCTATCAGGGATTTTGTACTGTGCCTAGCACAACAGGGCCCTAATTCATTGTGGGTATTTTCAGATTCATTGTAAGCAAATAAATATTGCGTTTAGAAAGGTAGCCTTCTGGTATGAATTTGCAGAAAGATATTATTTTTGTCCACCTACTTATAGTCCAAATAAATTGTGAATGTACAAGCATAATGCATGCCTATAGGAAATAGAGAAGGCCATTCCAATTTGTCTTTACCAGTCATTATGAAATGGGGAGATCTGTACCATTGCTGTGCCTCACCTTTCGTCTGTGCTTCCTTTCCTCCTTGTCTTGAATGTAATTCTGAACTAACAGGATTTAAGAATATGTTACTGCAAAGAAATCAGCCTTGCTAGAAAATACTAAGATCTGCAAATACTAACTCTGCAGTTATGGATACCTTTTGATGGCTATTTCTACCTGAGGGTAGGAATTCCTGCGGTTTTTTCGCCACTTCCATCCTGTCCCTTTGTTTTAACTGGGCATTTACCATGTTTATATTGTGCATGTAGAACCAGAGCAGCTTTTTTTGTGGATGTTTTTTAAAGACTTCAAGCACAAGTTCGTTACTGGTGTTGAATAATAGTTTAGACCCAGTCTTGACAATTCTTCTGAAGTAATTTCCAATACGTCAGTAAACATGTAGGGCTATGTATTTGGATGCTCTGAACTTTATTGAATGAAAAGTACAGTTTCTTTATAACTCTGCATAGGAAAAAGTCCAGTTTTGCTTTTTCCAGAGAATGATACTCCATTCATTTAAAAAAATGCTCCAGAAGTTTTGCCAGTTTTTGCTGGCTGTGCTCTCTTATAATTCTGGGTTCATAAAAAAGTAAAGCCAGACCTTTTAACAAAGACAGGGGTAAGCATAGTTTTATGAGAAGCTACCTTGTCTAAGTGCTGGTGGAAGTTAGAGAATTTCTGTACTTCTTCCAAAGTACTGGAGCTGTCTTCTGTAACTTTTTTCTATTTCTGCAGCTTTTCCAAACTAAAATCCTCACATAGACATTTTATGTTAAAGTATTCAGAGCATTTCTGTTTCATTGCAGGAAATAGCAACTTTAAAGCAACCTTAGTACTCAAAAAAAAAAAAATCTTTTGTATTAGTAGCTCTGTGGTTAGAAATCCACCAGTTTTATCTAATGAGACTGTAACAGGTGTATCGTACTAGTAACATAGAGATGGAGAGTGCAACAACAACTCTGCAAAGGAGACTGGAATTAAGACAAATACATTAGTAAGACTGTAAATTTAGGTTCTCAGTGCTTAGAAGAGAACACAGCTTGTGTGTTCTGACATGGTAATTAGTAAAGATAAAGAAGGGTATGCTTTGTTTTGTTTTAAGAATGCTGTGTTGCAGTCTGGCATTACACTTTCTGTCTGACCTGTGGTGAATTAGCATTTGTTTCAGTTCTAAGAAAGGCAATAATGACATAACATCCCTGTGAAGTAGGGCAGAAAAATAGTGGCTTGAGACATTGTATCACATACTCACAATAGCATCTGAATAGCTGGTAGTATGCTCCCCCTTCCCCAGAGTATGTCTGTTTCATGCAGTACAAAAGTTGACCCAACTTGAGGAATGTCTGGGATTTGCCAACAGGATTCAGGTTTATTTGATTTTTATCAAATTTGATTTTTATCAAATAAACCTGGTAATAGCAATGGGAATAGTGAGTGTGAAGAATCTTAAGTTCTCTTCCATACACTGTTGGAGAGGATGTTTTCTAATGGTCACAGACCCTTCTTGTCTCTTTTCTGCAGTTTGGTTCCTTCAGCCTGTTTCGTAAGTGGGAAACCATTTCGTCCCATGTAGCTTTAATTTGCTGTTGCCCCTGGGACCTGTAATTTATGTGTTGTGGAGATTGGAAGGCATGTATTGAAAGTACTGGGAGATGGTTTTGTGCTTTGAGTTCTTTCCCCTTCCAAACAAATGAGAAGTGACTTGATCAAAACTTTTAATAGCGAGTTTGTTACTTGTTACTCATTTTTTTGAGTGCTGAACCTGAGCCACTGGTCTCTGATTTACAGAAGTCTTGGCTCAGGGTAGTAGTATCTCTACTGGAACATACACACAATTATATAAGAATACATAATCAAATCCTACGTCAGTTGCTCAAAAGAAGTGGATGCTCTGGTCTAAATCAATCTACACAATAGTTCTCTACTCTGAAAAAGAAATCACAATTTCCTAGGATCTTCTGGAGAGAATTCTATGAGGCACTCAGTTATGTAGTGAACATGCGAGAGGTGAAAAGTTCATTTGGTTCTTCAGAGGATCCTACTGCTTTTTCTGCTGTCACTAAGTAAGCAACCATTCTGTGGCCTGGTTCGAGCAAGGACCCTGGGGAAATCTGTGATCCTGTAATTAAGGATTTTTACCTAGAATAAATGCATGGAAATCTCTTGAAGTTTGCTATGTTGACTTTTGAGCACTTGTCTGGGTAATCCAAGTGCCATTTTTTTAACAGGTTAATATTTACATAAGAGTTCTCCTGATTTCCCTTCCAGCATTAAGCTATGCTCCATTAAGCACTTTTATGCTGAAAAAAGTGTCATCTCTAAGGCTTTTAGCAGTTTTGTCAGTAAGAAGTTTTATTCCAATCTAATAAACCTGTTCTAGTAAAATTTTCAAGTGTAAAAAATTTCTTGATACTTGATTCTCTTGTGGTTTTAGTTATTAAGAAGGATTTGTGTCATTTATGTAATCTCTAATTTTTTTAATGTGTTTCCAGTCCTCCTGTTCGACGGCAGAGAACAAGAAGAGATCGTTTGTCTAGACATAATTCCATTAGCCAGGATGAAAACTATCACCATCTCTCCTATGGACAGCAGCAAGCAATAGAAGAGCCCCGAGCCTTTCACCCACCGAATGTATCTCCTCGTATGTTGCATCCAGCTGCTCACCCACCACAGCAGAATGCAGTGATGGTTGACATTCATGATCAGGTAAGAGTTTTAGAGTACAAACAGAAGGGTCTTGAAGATGTATTGGGTTTTTGTTGTATTTGGGATGTTTAGTCTTTTTTTCCCCAAATCTTCAAAATCTCTCTCCTCCCCAAATTAGTTGGCAATGAAAATCACATAACACTAAATTCTGTTAGCCCTCTTACAGAGCATTTTTCCTGTTGAATGTTATTGGTGTATGGAGCACCGCAGTAGGCAGTGAAAAAAACAAAAAGAAAGTCCAGACTTTTAATAAAGAATGATACTTAACAATTTGTCAATGCATGTATTGGCATAGTTCTGTATGCCTCTGGCTCAAACCTTTGAAAGGCAGTTATTGTGCTTCTGAAGTTAATTCAATGTGATAAAGATGTGATGTGATAATTAAGAATGTACTTTATTTCATGTGAAATACCTCTCCTTAGCTAAGGAGTCTTTAAATAGTTAAAATACGTTATTTAAAAGTAGAATTCACAATGCCTATAATTGGTTGCCTACATGACAGCAGAACTCATGATAGTATCGTTGCATAACCACATTAGCCATCCAAGCCTAATCAGTTCCTCCTTAAATGACATGAAAAAAATGAGAGTTGTGGTTGGTCCAGAAAATAAATAATTCCTCTCTGCAACAGCAATTGATATAGAATTCTGTAACTGAGGACCTGTAAAAGAAATTGTGCTATTGAGGTAACCTTTGTTGTTGTTGTTTGTTAAATCAGCAGGCTGCAGTACAAGTGCATTAGTTGCTAGTCAGGAACTGGAAAATAGAACTGGTTATCCAGGTGTCCACTTCTCAAAATGCACTTGCATAGAATGCAACTCTAACAACCCTGCTTAAAAACTGTTCTGCATTCAGTGCAGCTGCATACCACTGATCTGTTTTATTATGTGTGCAGAGCAGTTCTCAGCAAGGAAGTATTTGCATTTGGGACCACATGCAAGGGTGGAAGCTAACGCCATTCTAGCCACCTTACATTTTGATGAACAATTTCACTGCTGCAGCATCTCAAAAATTCAAATCGTGCTCTTACTTTGTGTCGCAAGATTACATCATGACAAGCCCAGATAAACAGTTGTTCCATTCCGTTTCCTCTACCTTCCAAGCACCATCTATGATCAGATGTCAGTGTTTCAAGATTCATTGAGGTCTTCCATGGTGATGTTTTTTTACTTCAGGGAAATAAGCATTTTGAGAGGTCATTTTTTAGTATTACTCTGAGCAGTAAACGTTTCAGAATCACACCCAGTATTGCACTGTATGCCCAACTTTGTACCTGAGCCAGAACCAGATCAAATTCAATGTCTCTCCTGAGACTGGTTTCTGTCATTACTGATAGGTTGAGATTCTAAGTTCCGTTCAGTGATCTCTGTTCTGTTTTGGCCTCTCTGACTGTACACTACCAGTTCAGTAGGTTAGCTGTATTTACTCATTCTCACTTTCCTAATGAGCTGTTCTTGCTTGTTCTGTTTTAAGCAAGCAGGTTCCATTTTAGCAGACCACGAAGGAAGAGGGAGCTTCTTTGAAATAATTCCTTTTTTATTAATCCGTGCTCCCTGACACTTAAGCCTTTTCAGTTTTATTAGAGTGTCAGAGATTTCTCGTTCAGTGTTTAAAAAAAAAAAAAAAGCCAGAAACAATAAAACCAAGTGGTTGGGAGGTCAGTTATACCTTTGGATCTTAGTTTGAGGATTAAATTCTGGGGAGTATCAGTAGCTAGAAAATTGGGTTATGTAGGTCTGTTTCCTAATACAAATGTGGATATTTAGGGTCTGCTGCCTCATAGTCAAATTTACTTTTCCTTTTCAGCTTTCCGATTAGGTGTTCTGTTACACTTAGGTTAGGAGATTTATCCTGAGTGTTGGTCTGAGAGTGAATCAAGAGATTGATCTCTTTGGAAGAAAGAAAATCTACACAATATTCTTGTTCTTTAAACAAGTCTCTGAATGATTATTGAATCAGTCCCTTCAGAGCTGAGAAGATTCTTTAGCTACTTGTAGATTAGCTGTTATGTGAGTGTTACTGCCTTCTTATTTTGTAAGGGCTAACCTTAGTTTGGGGGGGGGGCAGGCTTAATAGAGTCTGAGATGCTTCTGAGTGACTCTAAGGTGCCTTGGAAGTTTTAACGTTTTAAGCTGAGAGATCCCTCTTGGGCCTTGCCCAGAAACTGCTGATCAATAGGTAATATTCCATTGAGAAGAGTGTTTTAATGAACAGGAATTACAAGCATGTGCCTCCTTTTACACCTTCATTGTGAGTATTTTTTTTTTTTTGATATGTAGGTAAAAGCTTGTTATCTTATTCATCGTGCTGTACAATACTGTTAAGAGTTTACAGTAAGTCATTAATTTTTTTTTTCCTTTTGCGGCAGATACATCAGGGCACAGTTCCTGTCTCGTACACAGTGACAACAGTGGCTCCACATGGGATACCACTTTGCACAGGCCAGCACATCCCAGCCTGCAGCACGCAACAGGTCCCAGGGTGCTCAGTGGTTTTCAGTGGGCAGCACCTTCCAGTTTGCAGTGTGCCCCCCCCAGTAAGTGAGTCTCTGTAATTACACCAGCTTCAATCTTAGACATGGGAATGGCACCTTGGAACTTCAGTGTCTGTGTGGTTGTAATTGTGTTGGAAGTAGCCATTTTTTTTTCCCCTGTAGTAAATTGCAGTGGCATAGCAGTGTAGGCCTTAGAGCTGGTAAGCATACGGTACTTACCTGCTGTCTTTATAGAGTATGATTGTTTATAATATAGAGTCCTGATGGTTTTTAACTTGAACTAAGTGCTGGTTTATGAACTGACTTCTCAGCAGCTATTCTGCATACTTTCAGATAGCAAGAGGAAGGTTTCTAAGGCTTTTTCTAGGCAGCTCACCTAGAAAAAAGTCTTACTTAGTAGAGACCTTGTTCAGGGATTGGTTATATACAAAAAGGTCTCATATTCCAAAGTCAGTTTTCTTCTGAGAAGTAATAAGATCCTGAAAGAACACTAAAAGCTGAGGAGGGCTCTTCTGTCTCAAAATGCTTTCATAAAATGAGTCAAAATATTCTTTAATAATGATGTGTCTCTCTGTGCCTTTCTTGGGAGTAAAACAAAGTGCCTTGACTGCCTAATTTGCCAGTTTTAAATTTGAAAGAATTTGAACTGTTTTCTGAGAAATTTTTATGTATCAGCTTGGAGATACCACTTTCCAGGTCATAGCATTCTGATGGAAATTTCATCATTAAGTGCTAACAGGCACCAGAGCTGAAGAAGTGTACCTCAAGAAGTTTCAGCTGTACAGATGAAGGTTGCAGAACTTGCTGGAAGAGTCACAGCTTTTTTTCCCCCCCCTCTTTTTTCTAGTATAAATCTGTAATATCATATATAAAAACTACATATAGTGTCCAGTAACTGTTTATAGTGCTGGTATAAATGCTGGTCTCTGCCAGCTGTGCATTTGCCAGCAGTGTGTAATTTAACTTTTCCTCTTGCACATTCTGTGGCCTGAAGGCACGAACAAGCCTATGACACTGAAACAAAACCCTTGATGTGACCACCTGTTTCTTTAAGCTGCTTGTTGAAGAGTGAGGGTCATTTGCATTCATCTTGTCCACGTGCCATTTATCCCAATGAGAGACAACAAGGTCTGCAGCATACTGCTGGCCAGTCTGGAATATTTGTGGGCAATATTTCCCCTTACCTTTCCAACTGGTGAAAATCTGTTACATGAGTCAGTGTGTATGAGATGTATGAGAGACAACTCTTTTCTTCTATTTAGTGGTGGTGGTAGTGGAGCAAAGCAACCCCAGATTGGGTACCCAGAGGTTGGAACAATACTTGCATAGAAAATGCAGCAAGGCAAGAAAGCAGCATGTCCTAAGAAACAACATAGAAAAAGCTAAAACTATATTGGGACTTAGGGAAATCCGAACAACAGATACTAACAATCTTACTCTCTGGTTTGAACAGGTATATTATCTGTGCAATTCATAAAATGTTTTGTAATTCAACAATGCAGCTGTCCTTTAAATATATATAGGTTTAAAGCTCTAACCAGGTTGTTTGGTCTGAATGTGCAAAAGTTATTCAAGTGTGTTGAGAGAATGGGTGCAGTACAAGTGAATATAAAGAATTAAGGTTGAGTTTATGTAACATCAGCAGGCAGACTTTATGCTTAGTTCTATGATGTCACAGAATTGAGAAATAATGTAGGTTAGGAGGGGGCTCTGGAGGTCATCTGGTGGTCACCCACTAAGAGCAGTACCCATTTTCAAGGATGGAGACTTCACAACCCCTCTAAGCCTCTGCTCCAGTGTTTGAGTGTCCTTGTGGTGAAGAATTTCTTCTGTGTATCTGATTGAATTTTCTTTGCTGCGACTTGGTCCCATTGGTCTTTGTCTTTTCACTTTGCCCCTTGAGGAAGAGTCAGGTTCTGCCTATCCACTCTCATGAAATTGCTGAAGACAATGGTAAGGTCTTTGCTTAGTTTTGTCTTTTTAAGGTAGAACAAATCCAGTTCTGCAGCCTCTTCTTTTATGCAGCATGCTCCAAGCTCCTGGTCATCATGTTGTCTTTCAGTGGACTCATTTCAGTAGGTCAGTGTCTTTCTTTGGCTCTGGGGAGACCGAAACTGGACACAGAACTTGAGATATAGTTTCACAAATTCCAAATAGAGGGGCGGAATCACTTTATTGTACCCACTAGTTACATTCTTAGTAATGCAACCCAGCGTGCAGTAGGCCTTTTTGACTGCAGAGTACACTGTGCCTCTTGTGTGCTCCTATTTGACGTGTCCACCAGAAAGCAACTTTTTTTTGTTCTATAAATCTGCTTACCAACCAGTCTGTCTCAAAATGTCTTGCTCCATGGAGTTATTCTCTCCCAGTGCCAGACTTCATATTTGCCTTTGAACTTCACATGGTTCCAGTTAGCCAGTTTCTTCAGCCTATAAAAGTAAATCTGAAAGGTAGCCTTGCCCTCCAGCATGTCAGCTTGGTCACCAGCTTTATCTGTGAAATCCCCAGTATCCTTTTGTAACTTTCACAATATTTGTCTTTCTCACTGTGTATGTAACTATAAAATAAACATGTCATTTATGAAATACCTTCATCAGTTTTACAACTTCTTGGAAGCGTATGTTCAAACAGCAGATGTTTTCCAAAAGCCTGAATGAACAAACAAGTAGTTTTCATTTCTTTCTACTTGAATAATAATGCAGTCTCATTTGCTGTAACTTAAAAAGTGCCATGGGCATAGCACAGATAGTTCCAAACATATATTGGAGCTATGGTAATCTTTACCATACAGAATCATGGGATGAAACCTCTTTTAATATGTTCCCCAAAGTACCTCCTGTTTTAAAAGAACACTCTGTGATGTTCTACTTGCAAATTTATCTTCAGCTGTTTCAGAGAACGGTTTTCAATTTAGTAAAATACAATAAAAAATGTATTTTAACAATAGAAACACTTGCCTGTTGTATTTCTTTTTTGAAAAATGATATAGTAGCTGGGGGTGAAGAATAGTTGGCATTTAAGAAGAACTAGTAGTAAGATCAAATTAAGCTGCTACTGTTTCAGTGCATGTAAAGATTTTTGTTTGGTAATGATCACAGTAAATTGAGGTGATAATTCCACCTCCACTATTGTAATCTGATTTTAAACTTGATCTGTCTACCATTTTATGCCATTATACTCAGTATGCACAATATATTTTATGTGACACGACTAAAAAGGAAAAAAATTCAGAGATCAGAACTGGGTCCTCTTTCTTCGTAAGATTTCATAACAAGTATCTTATTAACTGCTCTTTTAATTGTCAAAAAATGTAACAGAAATGCCTGACATTTTGATGATGGATCAAAGAGCAAGAAGGTGATTTGGGGTTTTTTGATCATGGGTCAGTTTACATGACACCAGGCCTGCTGGTGACAGATGTGGTACACCTGTCTCAAAGGGAGAAAAGGATCCTTGCACAGGAGTTAGCAGAGCTCATTGAAAGAGCTTTAAACTAGATTTGAAGAGGAAAAGGGCTAAAACCAGGCTCACTAGAGATAAGCCTGGGGGCGGCACGCCAGTGTTTGAGGGATGGTGTGCTAGCGAGGTCCTTTGGTCTGCCATCTCAGTGGAGGCAGGGGCTGGAGATCCATGCGGCAGCAAAGCTGCAAGGGCTATGGATGCGTTAGAAACCACGGAAGCACCTGAGAATGGTCACATAGAAATTAGGGCTTCTCTCCCCAGAAAGGTTGCAGGATCAATAGCCCAACTGAAGTGCATCTACACCCATGCATGCAGCATGGACAACAAACAGGAGGAGCTGGAAGCCATTGTGCAGCAGGAAAACTATGACATAGTTGCCATCACAGAAACATGGTGGGATGAGTTGCCCAACTGCAGTGGATGGCTATAAGCTCTTCAGAAGGCATAGGCAAGGAAGGAGAGGTGGTGGGGTAGCCTTGTATGTTAGGAAATGTTTTGATTGTCTAGAGCTTAATGATGGTGACGATAGGGTTGAGTGTTTATGGGTACGAATCAGGGGGAAGGCCAACAAGGCACATATCATGGTGGGAGTCTGTTATAGTAAACAGTCCTGTAAAGGACGAGGAAAAGGCTGAGGTACTTAATGCCTTCTTTGCCTCAGTCTTTAATGACAAGACCAGTTGTTGTTGGGGTACCCAGCCCTCTGAGCTGGAAGACAGGGATGGGGAGCAGAATGAAGTCCCCATAATCCAAGGGGAAACGGTTGGCAATCTGCTACACACACACACAAGTCTGTGGGACTGAATGGGATCCACCCAAGGGTACTGAGGGAGCTGGTGGAAGTGCTCACCAAGCCATTTCACATCATATGT